GCAGGAATTGCAGCGCAGGAGATGAGAGTCCCCTTAAAGAGTAGCTTTCTCCATAATGGGGAAGGCATGGGGACCCTGAAGACCTGTTGGACGGGCCACAGTGGGTTTGAAAAGTAAGCCGTGTGTTTATTTCTTTTATCTGCAAAGTTTATAGTCTGTCTTTCTGCCCTCCTCAGGGCGCCCAAGGCAGCGAACAGATTAGAAACATACATAATCCAAGCACGTCTTAAAACCCCATTAAAATCAAACGAAAACGCATCATTCAGACAATTAAAACCAAGCTAAAATAACACACATCACAGTAAAAACCACGATTAAAGCATTCCTGTTAAAGTGGGAAGGAGGAATCACTGTTTGGATGCCAAACGAAAAGAATAGACAAGACTGCTACGTCTCATTTCCCCCTTCCTGGTGCTGCCAGGTTGGTTTTTGCAAGGCAGTGGAAACAACAAAATACTCCTAAGTCACAAGACCGGTTGCTGAAAATAAAGGAGATCTATACCCTTGTGAAATTAACGGCATGCCAGAAAAGGAGAGACTCACTTACTTTAGACCTCTTATGGTCAAGGGCTATACAGGGGATGGATCTGGCAATAGAATAGACTGAATTAATAACATAACTGCCCTATCCTCATAAAGGATGTCTGTGTCCATGGTTGCAAAGGGGGAAAGGGACGGTAATATATTTTATGCATTTTTGTGTTTTATATTTCCTTTTTTGTTCGTTTGTTTTAATAAAGTTTAAATTAATTTTTTTTGACGAATTTGTGTTGGGGGGGAAGTGGAGACAGTGTGCGATAAGTGGGGTTTGGGGGTTCTTGGCTTCATTTAATTTTAATTTAGACCATTTCCCCTCTCTTCCAGTTCATTTTTCAGCATGGACCCCGTAACGATGGCCTACAACCTGAACTCATCGGCTCAGCGTCGCTGTGCATCCATCGGTAGGTCTGTGGGAGGCCAGGGGGTGGTTTTGAGAGCTCTGTTGTGTTTTAGTTTGAAAGGAGGCCTTTTTAAAAGCAACACTTTAATTTTATTCTGGAGGTGGGAGGCGGGGGAGTAGCAGTGTTACATCTGTTGCAGTGGAAGCAAAACAAACAGGAATCTTCTGGGGGCCCTTAAAGACCTAACAGATTTATTTGTGGCCAGAACCTTTCATCAGATGGGTGAAGTCGGTTATCCGCCTCTGCTGACACATCTACATGTGAGCAAAGAAACTAGCTGTAAACAGTGGGGAGGGGGGGGGGGTGTCCAAAGGCCAGGAAAAACATACATGGTGCAGAAGACTGTGGCATTTCTATGCAAAGCTCAGCTGTGTACTAGACGAGAACAGGGATCGTTCAAAGCCACGGAAGCCCATTGGTACAGCTATAAATAGTCCGTGTTCTTATCTTTGCATGGAAATATCACCAACCTCTTACGATGCCTGGCCTTTTGGCCTCACTGTTTACATTTTTTCCCTCTGCACTCATCCATTCTATGCTATGTCAGCCGAGGATAACATTTCATTCATCTAAGAGGGCTCTAGTTCTCAAAAGTTCTGCCACAGTAAATCTGTTCGTCTTTAAGGTGCCGGCAGCTGTTTTTGAGCCTGTGTTCTGCACACATTCTTCCTCTGACCATAATTTGTGTGCACACAAGCAGCAAGCTGCGTTGCGCTTCAAAGATGAACACAGTGTTTTCCCCCTGTCCTCTGCTTTTAGTTTGAACTCTGAAACGCTTGCCCCGTGGCCCTTTGGTCTCTGCAGCAAGAGACCGAAAGGCCCCTCTGCAGTTGCAGTGATCTTTGCCTGCCCCCTAGTGTTGGGATTTAGCCCACTGGTTGACCAGTTGAGAATTTGAGGAAATCGTCAGCTGTGCTGGTCCAAAAGAAAACTCCAGAACTCAGTCCACGCAGTACCTTTTATTAGGATGAACCCAACGACATCTAACCATGTGCCAGCTTTCAGGTTCTCCAAAACTTTTCTTCAAGCTGGATGTTAAATTTTTTTTTTAAAAAAGGAAAGGAAGAAGCATTAGGACGTGGTGGAACATTAAGAACATAAGAAGAGCTCTGCTGGATCTGACCAGTGGTCCATGTAGTCCAGCATCTCGTCTCACCCAGCAGCCATCCAGTTTGTCTGGAGGGCCAACAACAGGGCAGAGACATTCCCCTGGTGTTGCCTCCTGGCTCTGGGATTCAGAGGTTGACTTCCTCTGAACATGGAGGTTCCCTTCAGTCACAGTGGCGAGTAGCCATTGATAGACTTATCCTCCATGAATCTATCTAATCCTGTGGCCATCACTACATCCTCTGGTAGCGAATTCCACATTGTGATCACTCTCTCTAATTACTAATTCTGGTCCAGTCGGCTGCATTCGGCTATAGATGCAGAGTTGATGCTAGCATCCAGTGCCCACCCGGCTTTTGTTACGAGCAAGAAGCCATGAAACTGGACCACAACAAATGCAAATAGAAGTAAATAGTTCTCATGCCCAGGTTGTCCCAAATGGAAAGTCACTGTTGACTTAAATTTATGGACTCCCTCGCAGACTTTTTAAGAACAGACACAAGGGCTGCTTCCAGAGCCAGTTTGGTTTAGTGGTTAAGTGCACGGGCTCTAATCTGGGAGAACCGGGTTTGATTCCCCACTCCTCCACTTGCACCTGGCTGGATGACCTTGGGCAAGCCGTAGTTCTGGCACAGCTGTCCTTGAAAAAGAGCAGTTTCTGTCAAGAGCTCTCTCAGCCCCACCTACCTCACAGGGTGTCTGTTGTGGGGAGGGGAAGGGAAAGGAGTTTGTAAGCCGCTCTGAGACACCTTTGGGTAGTGAAGGGCGGGGTATAAATCCAATCTCTTCTCTTCTTCTTCCTTTTATGAGACCGCTGTGGAATTTTCCCCAGACTCCATTGAAATGTAGATCCCCCCCCTCCCCTTTTATGGATTGTTCTGTGGGATGTTGCAATGTAACATTTCTACATGGGGGGGCCTTCGTACCTTCTTGAAAGCATTTGTCTCGCCACCATTTAGTACTGAACACAAGCCTAGATGGCACTTGTCTGATACACCGGGGCTCCCAATATTTGAACAGATGGACAACGGCGCATCTCTTCCAATTGTATGTTCATTCTTAATTGTCTTCTCCTAGGGCCCGTTTCTAATCCTGAGCTGGTAAATGGCCATAGCCATGCGGAGAACAGCAGCAAGGCCTTGCCTCAGAAGTCGAGCCCGCTTCCATTCGGCCCCAGAAGCGAGAGGCCTACTTCAAACCCCAAAGATGACCCTATTCCCAACTTCAGCAGACTCTCTATCAACACGAGTGGCCACTGCAGCGAGACGCCTCCCCACACGCCAGTGACGAGCGGGACCCATTCCTTCCCTCCCATGCCTTCTAGTGAGCGTGGCGCCAGGCCGCTGCCTCCCTTGCCTGTTGCTAAAGACTTCCTGCACGACGAGGTGGACAGGGAAGTGGAGTTCCTGACCAGCTCGGACACAGACTGTCTGCTGGAAGATTGTGGCAGCCCTGCTTTTAAAACCGCTGGTCAGGGGAGGAGAAGCTTCAGGGGCTGTGGGCAGATCAACTATGCCTACTTCGACACCCCACCAGGACCTAAATCGCAAGAGGCCCACTCAGCAGCTGTCCAAAACGGATGCGCCGCTAGTGCCTGCCCCCCTCCTCCACCGCCACATCAGCTGCACCGGCGGCTGCGGCGCTCACATTCCGGGCCCGCTGGGTCTTTCAACAAGCCAGTAGTGAGGATATCGAGCCTTTTCCATCGAGCGTCTCCCACTTCTGACGACGATAAACCGGAGGTCCCCCCCAGGGTTCCCATTCCTCCCCGGGCACTCAAGCCAGACTATCGGAGGTGGTCGGCCGAAGTAGCTTCCAGCGCTTACAGCGACGAGGATAAGCCTCCCAAAGTCCCCCCAAGAGAGCCTCTGTCCCGGAGCAATTCTCGAACACCGAGCCCCAAAAGCTTGCCGCTCTACGTCAACGGCGTCATGCCGCCCACGCAAAGCTTTGCCCCCGATCCGAAGTATGTCAGCAGCAAAGCCCTGCTAAGGCAGCACAGCGAAGGCTCAGCCAACAAAGCCCCGTGCATCCTTCCCATCATTGAGAACGGGAAGAAGGTCAGTTCGACGCATTACTACCTGCTCCCGGAAAGGCCCCCGTATCTGGACAAATACGAAAAATTCTTCCGGGAAGCGGAAGAGGCCAGCTTAAGCGCGGAAGGGCAGCCTTGGAACGGCGACCCCAGCCCGGCCAAGCTGGACTTGAAAGTCAAGGCAGATGTGGCCGGCCACGTGAAACGCAAACATCTGTCTTGCGTGGTTTCTCCATAAAAGCACTGGAGGGTGGGGCAGGAAGGTTTAATAAACTGTGATTGCGAGCAGTTCTCCAAGGGCAAAGTCTGATAGAGCCACTTTGGACTGTCGGGAGAAGAAGAAGAAGGACAACGGCAGGGCTCCCACTGGGTGCTGCATCGCTCTGGACCAAGCGGGCCTTTCTTGTTTGAGCGAAAGGACTTGGAGAAACACTTGAGTGTGCATAGGGTTGGCCAGTTATTCAATATTCTAGAGTAATATATATGTTTTTAGGAACTCACATTAGTAGAAAAAACATGGAACGCAGTCTTGCTAATGAGACTAGTGACTTAAGCCAAAAGCAAAGGGTGGTTCAGTATTTTTATTGGAGGACTTTCAGCGTGATGGCCACGGCATTTTAATTATTTTTTTTCCCCCTGAACATGTTTCTTGCTCTCCTCTGCCTGGCACAAGCTGATTTCTCCCCAGCCAGGAAATGCCCTTGTTACCCAAGGGGGTGAGGAAGGAGACTGGTGACTCTGGTACCGGTTTCTTGACTTTGCCAAACCCATAATGAGTTTGGATAACGCTATATTAAGGGTTCTAGATTTTGACCATGGGAGGAATTTAGATCTTGTTGACTGGGCTTTGTGGCAGGGCTCAACTCCCCCCCCCCATTACTCAAAAGCACTTGGTAGGATTCAGTCAGTTGTCTGTTGACTTGGACCAAGAAATGCCAGCTGCAACCCGCAACCGCATTCTTCACCAGTCCCACGGAATGATTGGTTGTCGGTCTGTCAGCGGGAGAAGCTGTTGCTGCGTGAACCGAGATGGAAAAGGACAGGTTAAGTAGGGGAGGAGAGGGTCTTTTTAAAAAAAAAGAAAATGGACCAACTTCTGTCCTTCAGGCAGGAAGTATGAGTGATAGCTAGAAATGGGCCACAAGCTGGTCTTGGGCTCTGGTTCCTGTTTTATAACCCATGAGAAGGTGACTGACTTTTGTTAAGTCAAACTGTTAATTCCACCGCCGCCCCCCCCC